GGAAAAGAACATACGATGATCCAGGCAACAAAATGTCTCGGAAAACTTTAAGTAGATCATAAAAACTTCACCTATATCGTCAGCATACTCCGTCTAGCTATTCTGTGTGATAATTTAATTCGTTGTACACGATCGTTGTTGAAGGAAACAGTGTTGCTCAGGGTACTAATGTTACAGTTTTGCAGACAGCACACCATAGTATCGACAAAGATGGATTTCGTGGCATTAGACAGTATAGGGAGAAAAGATCATTTATTATTCCAAGCTTCCACTTGTAAGTAACCTGGTTATTGTCTCAGCTGCCCAGAAAGTATTGAGCCATGTATTCTCCAAGTTCTCGTACTGCTGCCGCCAGTGCTTCTGGAGGAATTGTATCCTCAACCGGCGGGCTGTTTGCACAGAAGCCACATCTTTGACAAAAGCTTCCGCTGTGAGTGATATGAGGGCGATTGCTGACGGCAAGGCGATAAAACCTGGAAGACCGCTTGATTGTAGGATTCTCGGAGAAAATAGGTTATTTTACATCCGCAGCACTGTTGCCGCTTTTGTATCATTTTTGTTTAATTATCGACCGTCCAATTTATCTGGCGTTAGAGCTAACCTACACACTCATGATGCTGCTTCGCGTATTAACATGCATTTTCTAGTATTTGTTCAAACAAAAGTAAATGATTTAAGACCATCGCAAACTTGGCGAGTGGCGTTTTTGTCGAACTCAAGCCAGGTGACTCCCGGCGGAGCATCCACAAGCGACGATCGGGTGGTAGCGTAGACAAGCTGGGCTAATCGATGGCCGCATTTGATGACTCGCACTGTCTCATATTTCTCCCTTCGATATTCCGCATAGCAGACGGGGTTCGAACGAACAACTACATGAATACTGCGACCCAAAGGGCAATCTACAACCAACATAGCAATGCTACGTTTCTAGTTAATAAGTTTTTAATTTGATACCAAATGACAAGATAAACGCAGTACTTTATTTATCTTGTTAATTCAAGGTTCTCGGAAGAGAGACAATCCAAGCGTGCGCTTTGTGTAATAATGGTAACGAGGCGACCGCAACATACAAGCAACTTCATGCACTTAAGCGAAATCGGTACTACGGGAACCAACTAAAATTTATTCATGCATTTGTAACAGTTTGGCCGCATTACTTATGTAAATATTACTTTTCGTGGAAAATAGTGGTATACATAGTTAGTGGCGCAGTATGGTGACAAAATCACATGCACGGTATGTTTTGGAACTTTGTGAAATATATTCCTTTAAAGATAGAGACTGGAGAATGTCATTCACTGCATGCAACGCCAATTGTTACCCGTCATATTTTCATGAGCAAGTTTCCTGAAGCGTTTCGTTTACGCTTGCCTAGATCTGCTGTAAATCAAAACCCGAAAAACAGCTTGTCTAGAAGAGCAAAACACTTCGTCATGCTCTGGTGAACATTGCTCAACGTGACATGCTACCACTATAGTCCAGACTCATATCATGATGGCAGACATGAAGTCAGTTGCTTAAGTAACACTCTGTCGATTAAATGACAGAATTATTCGGATCAAAGCTGCAAGAAACTTTTTGTTTGGCTTCGCCTGCGATCTATGTCCAGCCGTTAAGACAGAGTTTACGACAACCTAATACTAGTTAACACATCCGGACATCTCGCGAACAATTATTCGGATAAAAAATGTCCTCCTTCATGAAATGTAAACAACTATGATTAAGAATTCCCCAGACCGGTAATAAATATGACTATGTTGTTATTTTTCCTATGTAGCCAAAATGTGAATACCAACCTGTCATAAACAGGATAGGCAACCATTACACTGACACTATATTTCGTTTTGCTTCAAAGAAATTATATTTGATAATCATATATTTTTCTAGCTATATCTCTGTCGATTTCATTGCATGTCCATGCAACGTTATATCACAAATTAATTGGGTTAGTAAAGCCTGGTTAGACGTCTTATTCGCAAAAGAGCATTTGCTTTGTTGACGACATGTCTGTTCTCATTATGTAGAAGGACTTGAAATTTGCCCACCCCTTGAAAAGGAAGACATCTCGCTGAGCTTGCCAAATTTCGCTCAATAAACCATCTACCGGTTCCTTCTAGCGTCATATAATATGCAATTGCAGAAGTGCTCATGCCATACTTGAGAAAGATAATGTATAATCGCTCCGCAGCAACACGAATGGCCGAATTCTTTCACGTATCTTGAAATTTCTGTTAGCTGGTAATAGCTGGATGAAAACGCTTATACTGAAGTGCAATTTGACATTGCAGGTGTAACACAAATAACAAAACACTACCTCGTTACTTGCAAATCTTCACAAACAACGGAGTCGGAATATGTGCACGTAGTGTCACACGCTCTTTAGCAACTTATATGGAAATTTTCAAGAGTCTTCTGTGGGAAATATTATCATCGGTATATATATATATATATCTTGCCTTTTTGTACCAGACCATTGAGGAGCGCCGCATAAACTTCAGACGAACATGAAACAGCCATAACAAATCACTGTGGGGCCTCCATTGGAATTTGGCGAAGTAGTATAACCGGTTGCAAAACCGAATGGATTTTTTTCCTTTATGGATCGCAGCTGTAAAACACTTTGTTGAATTGTTACCTCTGCTCTTACTTGGCCAAATAAAATCCTCTTCACTACGATTTACTTAACTGCTTGTGATACTTGAGATAACGAGACCCAATGGGACACGAGATGGCGCAATAAATCGGGTGCATAGGTTAAATTTTCTTTAGTTCCATTAATACATACCACTGTTTTCGACAACCGCACATCTTGTTCTACTCCGTAAATGCGATGATTGTCATTTCTTTGATTTTACTTCGCAGTTAATTTTCTTTACTCTACTTTTCGCCAACATAATATGGCAATACATGAAATGCACCCAATCTTTCGGTAGGGAGCATTAGGGTAGACCTGAGCTTATATCACGCCTTGTATCAATGGAATTTATCGTACATATTTGCCTACAAAATGCGAATTAGGTGCTGCTTTTTGAAATTGTTTTGGGTGGTTTCTTGCCTCATTGGACCACCAAAAGCATTGAATGAGCATTGTAAACGAATCAGCTGCAATAGGTCAAATTTAAAATTACATTTTCAATAGCAGATTAAATATCAACAACATTGTTTTCTGTATCATTTTTAAAATATATCAAAACCTTTAAGCATACGACCGGAACTTAAATAGAAAGACTTGTAGGATTTGAAGAACAATGTTGAGCAACGAGAAAGAATATATTGACTCCAGTGAAAGAGAACATTTGATGAAGTCAATTCATAATTTTCGGCTGTCTGCCGTAACTAATCGGGACTGTGTCTCCAGAGTTTCGTGATTGAAGTACATTCAAGCAATGCCTGAAGTTCGACAGTTTGGCTGTCATTTTGTCATTTGCCATTTGATTAATGTGCAATAGTATTGCCCTGGCATATTCTGACAGCACGCTAAGTTATGCTGACGCAGTGGCATCGGTGACTGTAATGAAAGGTTTAGACCATACTGCTGCAATACACTAGAAATTCGTGCTTCACAAGTCTTTATTTATGGCCGTTGTTAGAGGCAATATTGTGGAACAGCCGAAGATCGTGCATAGTTAACCATGCTAGCAGAGTACGTTTGATTTGATTTGATCTACGCCACGGTAAAAGTATTGGAGTTTGGTGTGTAAAGCTTTATGAACCGCCCTTAAATTCCACTTTATTGTCTAGCTAAAAGACAAGAAAATCCCTTGTGTGTGTTCGGGGGCACGTTCTTTAACAACCTTAAATAGTTGTTTCGGCAAAATACATTTGGGCTACCAGCTTTGAGTTCAACTTACTGGAATACCGTTTTTTATCGTTTTGTGGGATATTGTGAGCCATGTTGTGGCTGTTTATGCGAGCAATATCAGTATCGTTGTGACTTTGTATCTGTGTGATGGCACCCATATGCATGCATTTAGATGGTACGGAATGTGACCATACATTAATGCGAACGCTAACGTTTGGGAGAGTAGGCATTATGTCGGGACAGTTTATTAGAACTTACCGGCAGGATATAATGACAAATAGCTAAAAAATACTACGCGAAGCGTTGTGCATACGTCAATGTCAAGTATATATAACAATTTTTCATGATCGGTTGGAAACCAAGATAATTATATTTTTTCGGTGATTACTGCAGTGTTAGCACATTCCTAATCAAGTCTGTGTTTAGTTACTATTCATGATATGTGCTCTGGGATGCATGTAATCAATCCGGTGGAACAAGTTGGAGAAAGGCAGTGAGGACTTGTATACTGGCACCGTGCAACAGACAACTCAAAGCTTTTAGAGATTACAAGGATTTAAGCGCATTTTAATTGACACACATGTTTAGCCTGTGCAAGTGTCAGTTAACATTGTTCATTTCAAAATTTAAATAATATGCACTACAAAGCGCAATGAAAGTGACTTACTATCGATGTCTTCTGAAGTAATGCTTTGGTGATTGCAGATGAGATGGGAATGCAGGGGGTGTGAACCGACAAATGAGGAGAAATCAAAATATTTGTCCATCCCAGGTGACTGGTGTTCTAATAGGATGAAGTAATCCGGTAAAATGCCAAGTTCTCGTGCTTGATTCCTCATGTTGCTTTGATGTGCCTCTGCAGGAATCATCTCATCTGTGAGTACTGTTTGAAAGTGGGTTTTCCTTTTTATGGTTTTCCGTATACAACATTTCTTGAGGCCCAAGCATTTCAATCGATAAACCCAAATACTCGTTACAAAACAAACAAGAACTAAGAAAGCTGCCAGACATAGTAGGAGTGTATTTCGCATATGTTGATATCCGGTATAGCCTGTAGGTTCGTTGGGGATATGTCGATTGTCTTCGTCCATCTTGTCATGTGGAGATCGCCGAGTTTGTAAACTTTTCTCTAAGGATTCATTTACGTCTAATTCTGGTATGTCGTTGACCAGTCCGTGATCTCGAGCAGTGTTAACTACATCTAGCAGCACAAACGCTATACTCCAAAATGGTTGTGGTATACCCCGATCACTGACCTTCAGTTTCAATATGTACCTAAAAAAGGAAACAAAAATAACACAAACTTCAGAAGTGAACAACTTTATGGGGCAACTCCTAACCGTGCGGTTACGTTTGAAGAAAGACGGTGTAGGATGGGTAGATTTCCTTAGTGCCTAAGACGGAATAAACTAGCCTCATTTTCAGCAAATTTATACTCAGATTGTTTTACCTTCTACTAAAAAACAGTGTTGTTGTAAGTATTGTGGCTTGAAATTATTCTATTTCTAGGTGACCGGAAAATAAAGGATTAATAACTATATACCAGGAAACAAAATGGGTTACATGCGATTTATCTTGCGTTACCTAGTTAAGCTCAACAATTATATAGATTAGTACGGCGTGTAAATTATGGTTGGTGTTAAGTTTATATTTATAAGAATGCCAAACCAAGGCTCAGGCAGACAAAAACTGTACCTTCAGAAATGCATCAGATGACTATTTCGTCTTATTGGAAATTGCCGTTTGCACGTATCGGCTGATTCTTGCTAAATCGGAACCCAAATTTCGCGAGTCAGTAAATTAAATCAACGCCGTATAGTGACGTCAGCGTGTCACCGTAACTTAGTGCGAACTCCGACGTAGCTCGAATAATAAATACGCAGTCAGGGCAGGTCACTGATGCCACGATAAAATAAATAAATAAACTACTATTCCTTGCCGATACGAAATGCTGATCCCTAGAAGAAACAGATCAAATTTTGGCACATCATTTTCATGCCATTACACTAATAAACTTTTTTAAGAAATAACCATGGGTGCAATTTAAATTTAGATAACACAAAGTAAGCAGACTCGTTCTGCAATTTTTTCTTGTCGTTGGAAAATGGTTCTTCAAAATCACATGACAAATGTTTTGGTGGAGAACAAAATGAAATAAAATGAAAGGAGCTGTGGTTCAAAATATTGTGCATATGTGGTGTAAATATTTATTCAGGCGCCATCGCTACCCTTTTCAAAATCATTATATTTGGACTGTTGTATCCTAAACATATTAATTACGTTTTGAACGGTAAACTGCTTAGTAATCGCAAACTTAGAATTGCTAAGTTTATAGAATGTTTTGATTTATTTGGGCAACATTTTTCAAATCTTTTCGCAGTGGATTATAAATAAACGTTCTCGGATCCCGGTAAAAATTATGGAAACATAACCTTTTTCCCTTCGTTGCGGATTGGATATCTGTCTTTTAAATACATGTGCATTTGATGATTTATGATTCTTCATAGAAAACATAGCTTCAACGTCATTACTCAATGCCACACTGGGTCAAATCCAAGTTTATCACCTCGCTCTCTGTATGTCATCTATGCGGAATATTCACATGGCTATTTCGTGAAGCGTCTCTGGACACTCCCAAGAGCATACTGGTCAGAATTACGAAGATTAGACTAGAATAGTGAACAGTATTTCATAAAAGGCAATGCATATGTATTTTAATGTATCATGCGAAATTACGTGAGGCAAAACTGATGACAATTTTATTCAGTGGCTTTCATGTCCTGCGAAACTTGAAACTCTCTATGTTCGGAAAACTTAAAAGTGACTACAAATCCCACGCCAAAGTCTTAGACTGCCTTACGCTGTAAGATGTATGCGAATTGTAATATAGACTGTCTGGCGGTACTTGGCATTTGTACAAAACAATATTACCTTGTCCACCGCAAATGATATCTAAAACAGCCTGCATCAAAAGTCAAGTGCGGATCGGTCATCTGAATGGGTGTACTATGTATAGTTTACTCGGAACCCTGCTGCAGACAGCTTTATGGTATCTGCCAAACCAGAATTTTCTAAATCTGTGGTATCTTGATGATAACTTAGTGGCTGCTCGCCCCCAACTGAGAAGATCGCTTACTTTTCTCAAAGTAAATGAAATCGGAAAGCAGACAACAATCGAGGTGCCAGTAGGCTGCTGAAGCGATTAGCTAATATGCGAGAACATTGACAAAATCTTTACATTTCGGAGTAGGTTTGTCCCAGCAAATGTAACTAGCGCTAAAGCCCCAACTTAATTTTGCGGTGACTGTCTGAATGAATGTAGCTATCTGGGACCTTAAATCTCAAATTTTATGCTAATATGGTAATACCGTGCACGTTAATTTTCAGTTCCGCTTTCTGGACTTTGTTCGCGACGACTTGCGCAAACAAATATATTTTTATCCCCGATTTGCTTGAGCTTTTATAACAAGTTCAGAACAACTTCTCCAGGAAACTTGAGCGATAAGGTTGGTGTTGAGTACAATGAAAATGTCAGATACAATAATGAAAACTATATCTCTCAAATGAAACTTTGTAAGCATATCAATTAGTTTGAAATGTCGATTCTTACCTTGGACAAATTTCGTTCTTTTAAACATAAATCATTTGAAATTAAAAGAGAATAAAGCCAAAATTCAGGCATACTGGCGTTGCTTAGTAGATATTTTGGACAAGATAATATAAACGTTTTGAAAAATGATGGTTTGTATTAGTTACATCGTTTCCACTGCGCATAAGCGCCTTTATTATAGGTAGCTACCTGGGAATATTTCCAGCTTCCATAGGAGGGCCTATCATTAATATTAATTATATAAATTTTTCGGCGGTGATAAAGGTATTGGTTAATAACTGGCAAAACTTTGACCAAAGCAAATATAGCAGCTAAAGTTTCAAATGATACAAAATAGTTATCCATTATGCCACACAACTTTTCTTACATTACAAACTGTATGTAACTATTTATTCAGACACAGCGCATGCTTAATCCCAAACATGCTGCGTGTACTCACAGTTATTGGCAGTGGAATTCTGGACAGCTGACGAGGAAATACTTTCCTTTACACGGGCGGTGGCATACATAGCAGTGGAGGACGGGTCAGGCTATAATGCTGTGCGATTTATTGTCATGATGGTTACCTTCTTCCCCGTGGGTTAGTAGCAGGTTGCTGGCTAGCTGTGCGAGGCAAAAGCCGTCCTTGGCGTCATCCTTTGAGGGCAGTGGAGGGTACGCTTACCAATGAGGAGACCAAAAGGAACGAAACGATTGTTTTGTGCTTTCTTGGATTGCTACCCGATATATGTTGCTTGCAATATAATTGCGATGAACCAGATTAATGTTAATTAGCAGATAAACAGTACAAAATTACATCAATTTGTCTTCAGCTATTGATTTCCTGTTTTATTGGTGGAAACAAAAGCTGGTGGTACCTATATTGTTGCGTCCATCCACTTTTGCCATACAGTTGAGCATAGTTATCTAACAATTTTTGAGTGTCTCACCTAGTTAAATCATGTACATCGCACGGGAACTAACAAGTATGATACGAATGACAACCAAAATTACTGTGGATAGTTTGGCTATGTGAAGTTTACTCAGAAGCATGCTGCAGACAGCTTTATGATATCAACAATAACGGAAGTGCCAAGATATGGTTTCTCGCCTCCAAATGACGAGACCGCTTAGATTTTTCCCAAAATATCTAAAAGCAACTATCTAGATGTCTGTATTACCTTCCAACTATAGCAAATAGTGAATGGCTATTCTGAATGAATGTTTGATGGGACAAATTACGGCTTGTTCAGATGTTCTACTTAACTATTAATCCAAGTAGACTTGCTTATATTGTACCCGGTTCAGATTCACGTCCGTGCAAATCTTATTATTTCGTTGTCAAGACCTTGTCATATCGAACCCGTCTTATATGCAGGACCAACTTGCGTAATCGAAATTGCTGTTTTAACCAAAAACATTTTTGGCTAGTTCCCATCTAATAGTTTTCATCAGATTTCACAGTCAGTTGGGAAAAATTATATAACATTATATTTTTCTGAAAACACCATTTTAACTGATGTTTCCTTCCAGTGGCGATAGTGTGTCGACCTAAAATGAAAGGCTGGGAATAGCCGCAATTTATGCCTTTTGGACTACACAGATCTCTCGGTGCTCCAGATGAAGTTCATTTAACAGCATAGTTTGTGCATTTTTCTGGTACATGCGTGCGCACAGACACACACCAATATGGGACCAACACTGAGCAGTTCATCAGTGTTGATCTGGTAGGCTGCACTTTCATGTTCAGCACATTATTATTTATATGCCGTGCAGGTCAGTATATTTTCGTTGCTCATTACTTTTCAAGTTTTCGGATTCAAATCCTTTTGCACCTCAGCCACGGTACATGCATTCAATCGAGCTCGATCAGACCTTTCTATCGTGCAAACTTTCTCGAGGGTACAATTGACGAATCATCGTCTAACGCCGGTTTTCCATTCTGGCTGTTTTTCTGCGGAATCGTTCGCCTACGAGTACATCACATTTCTAACTACATCAAGCTCCTTGGAGTTATCGGAAAGCATATTGCGAGGTCCACTATAAGAGAACTAAACCAACCCTATCGGTAACTGCATAAAGCGGCTAGAAGCAATTATATTTTCGTCCACTGCCTCCCTTGATAATGAGCTCTCACGCCACATTACAAATCGCATTCTATCGAACACGTGCATATTGCTTTGTAATTGATAGTTGTCATAAGGTTTCTTCGATAGAGCATAGCGCAGTTAACGCAGAATTGACTTCTAAAGCTATTCAAACGATTAATGTGCTTAAATTACAAATGAAATAATTAAAGAAGGAGTTTGAATCTCTTAACCAAGTCCTAGAGCAAGTGAACTCGTCTGACTATCTGTTAGCACTCCAGATACACCAAAGATGGAACACGTTCGATCCGTTGGGCGTTTTATACATGTCTACTCTTTGTCGACTGGAATGGGTACAGCACGACAAAGAGCCTACTCGGTTTGGTAACACACTTGATCTAATATTTACTATGGGATGTTCACCTGTGTCCACATACATCAATGACAAATTGCCGGGTAGTGCTCATCACCTATCCGCCTATTCATTTCAACTGCTTTCTAAACCGATGGAATCCGAGATCAAATACCCCCATACTATATTGTGAATTGTCAATCTTCTCGGATCTTATAAAGTTTTCAAATTGGGATCCATTTTTTCTTAGCAGAGAATGTTCAAATTGCTTGCGATGAGTTCTACCACCTTGTACAGCATAGTGTTGTAATTGTAGCTCTAGAACGTAACAAGAACTTGCAAAGAACTGCTGCACTTGCAGACATCTGGGAAAAGATAGTCACTAATCTTCATTAAATAAAGAAAAATATTAGGAAAATAAACGATTTTACTCTGTCGTTGCTCCACACCAGAAAGCTGTGTTATACCATTATCACCAAAATTGCTATGCTCTGGGGGGGCAATGGTACTGAAGGGAGCTAAGGTGGCAGGCTGCACCTCAAAACTTTGGACCACATGCAAAATAGAAAATCAATTTGTATTAACTCAATTGTAAACTCTGATGGAACTGCCTTAACCGATCTTTAATGACCAATTCACGTCTACTTATAACACCACTACTTATAGTGCCCATGACACGCAATGGCATTAAAACCCTCCAGAATGTTGAATTCACACTTAGTGGCATATGTCGTCAACTCAGATTAGTTCGGCCATCATGTTTACTAGGTCTGACAACATCCCGCCAATTCTAGTCACACGTGGAGGTCCAGACACCTGTTTTTGCTTATTGTATTTACATTTCCTTGCGCAATGTGGGGTATCCTATACACTAAAACGATCAACTATAATACCACGACACAGAAGCGGATCTATGCAAGATGTGAAAAAGTACTGCTTAATCCGCCACACACCTATTATCATTAGAATCATGGTGAGGTCAGTTAAAGGAAGCACAATAGAATATTTGAGTTCTGTGAACCTTCTCAGTAAACATCAGCACGGTTTTTTGAAAGGTAGGTAATGCACTACCTTTCATTTAGCTTATATTAATTACTTGACCAGAGCAAGAGACGCTGGAAGTGTCAGCACTGTAATATTTCTTGATAGCCAAAAGGATTTCGACCGTGTCCCAAACAACTTAGTGCTGCCGAAGCTTTGTCCTATGATATCACAAATTCGCTTTTAGATTAGGTGTCTTCATACTGCGAGGGTAGAAAGCAAGTATTCAAAAATGGTAACTATACATCTGAAGCCACCTTATTCTCTAGTGAAATGATTCAATCTAGCGTGCTAGCCCGCTTTTATTCCTCATATTTTTCAACGATCTCCTTGATGAAATCTCGTACGGGAAGCCATTCCTTTTCGCTGATGATGTTAAAATTGTGTAGTGTTCCCCCTGGGCAACGTAGTCCTAATTTAGCCTGCATTCAGTCTGCTTTTCAGCGCTGAAGCACTGGAGTAACTCCTGGAACTTGCAGTTTGCCACTGACAAGCGTACTCTATTGTACGGCTGCTATCGCCCTTCTCCCAACATCCAAACCTTAATCGACACTCATGTTCCTGTGTGTGTTGCAGTAAGAGACCTTAGTCTAATAATTCTGTCTCATTTAATTTTTAGAGCGTTATATTCTTGTAAATCTCCACAAAAAAGTGATGGCCTACATAACTGGAACTCTTATCTTAAGGGATACCAAGTTTCAAGCCATAAAAATGTGTTAGGCCGAAGCTTGAGTACTGTACGGTAGTGCAGGTCAATCTGAGAAAGTGGACATTATTGCATTATAAAACATTAAACGATTATTCACAAAGAGATATTTGAACATGCCTAACATTAATGCGTACCGTGAGCGTGGAGTGGCTCGAAAACTGGAGCCCCGATGGTTGCGCAGAATCGAAATTATTCTGTGCCTCCTATACCACTTACTATGCGAATTAAGCTTCACTACTCAGCTACAACTCGAGTTTCAGACTCGTATGCTCTAGGAACTAGGAGACAACGAGCGCACCTTGAAAACACAAATTCTGGCATCAAAAACTGCTCAAATATTTTTGTTCCACCGAGTAACTGCACTACCTATCCGCAATTCAAACGCATGATTAATATTCGCCTGACTATTTCAATTATATGGTCATCAACTAGCCAAAATATGACTCTAGATGATTTACATGAGAAAGGTCCAGAAGAAACTGAAATGTAGCCATATCCTTTATTTGTCTCTACAGTATAATTTACGTACAGATATTTGCATTCTTGATTATATATCTACACACTACCTTGCCCTTATCAATCCGTCTAACCCATTCTGTTTTTTTCTTTGATGCACTGCTTCGAAGATACGCTACGCATTTCTAGCTAATGTCCCTGTACCATCATCGTCAATCGCCAAGATTTTCCAGCAAATTATGATTGCTTTATCGGCAAGCGGTTGCATTCACTGTTACGTTTATCTCATACTTTATATTTTTCCTTGTTTCATTGTTGGTCATGACTGGAATGATTACTTGAGGTGACAGATTATAGCTACCAAAATAAAAAAATAATTATACCCACGTAACTCCTGCTACTTCTGACTCGCTGGCTTATAAGAATAAAGTGCCATTCTTGGTTGATCCTAATGACGGAATAGGCTGAGGCTTCGTCGAACATAATGTGCTAACTAGTGATAACCGAAGGGATATTCGCACTCAATATTCTTTTTTAGTTACATCCAATTATTTCTTTTTGATTTTTAAAATCTGACGTGGTGTATCAAGTGACAGACTAATTATGTATCCTACACTGATAAACCGCAAAAGATATCTGATTAAATGTTCCATACTATTTAAAATAGACGGTTCATAAAAACTACGTCCTTTTGTTTAGCAGATAATTTGATTACTCTCAGTGATAATTTGGTAATGTTTCTAATATTCAGACCTTGTAATCGAATATATTTTCATGACGCCTAAAGAGTTGATCTAATATATAATGCTTGTTGTACATGAGCGTTTCTACATTGTCGCAAGAACATAGTAAACATATTTTAATTCAACTTGGTCATAATACTGCCAAAGCTACCGTTGTAAATTTAAGCATATCAAATAATTACCTTCCCTTGTGCTGGGTGTCCAAGGTCCTTGAAACGTAGAGTAACCCGGTCGTTTCTGTCACGCTGAAGAACGTAGGCTTTTTCATCAATATCAACCGTTCTTTTCTTACCGCGAACTGCTCTTCCATGGTGTAGGTAAGTTCAGCATTCTGATCGGCATCTAAATCAAAGGCAGCTACAAAATGCACAGGGGAATTCTCCGTCGCAGATGATGCAACGGAAGCATTTGCAAAGTATACATTTGACGTCTCATTATATGGAAGAACCGAAGTTAATAAGCTTCGATACTTAGTCACATTGACTATAGGCACAAACGGTTTTTCCAGTACTGGTGCGTTGTCGTTAATATCCGATACCAATGTTGTGAAATGCCATTCGTTATGTTGACAACGTTCATATAGAGGTGAGGTAACCACTAGTAATAGATTATATTTAAATTCTGTTTCCCTGTCCAGCGTCCGGTTTATGATCACTTGAAATCGATTAATCTGATTAATTGTTTCTCTGTACAGGCCAATCGTTTTCGGGTAGTTTATGACGTCAGACCTCTTCTCAAATAACTGCGGTACACAGTCGTGGAAAATGGTGCCTGTGTTTTTATCGAAGCAAAACAATGCAGCGGCACCGAAGACATTGGTTCCCACTGGTGCTGACTCCGAAACTTTGTATACGGAATTGTTTCTGAAAGGAATCTGTTTAACCTTGTTTTCGGGATCGGCGATACCCAAGACAGTATACAAATCAGGAGGCATATTCGGATTAACCATTTCAATTCTAATAAGAATCTCTGTGTATTCATGCAGCATGTCCTCAGGTGTGTCCACAAATCCCGCTGAATGGGCTTGAACTCGCAAAAGTACAGGAAAAACAACCGGAATATTTTCTTGTCGCGCCACCGTTACCACCCCTGATTTGGGTTCAATATAAAATTTTGTTCCGTTCTCTTGATGATAGGAAAACGAAAAAAAAGACATATGTAGTCAGTTACTTTGCATAGGTTTGCATTCCAATATTGCGTCCGTAAACATATATTCATGTGGCAAGGCTTAAGGTTATTTTTAAACAGTGTTCTGAGTTTCTAATATGCAGTGTAACATAGCAACAGATGTTCTATATTTGAGGCGCAACATCAGTTTGCTTGCTTATGTAACATCACTGGCTAAAGCTGGTCCTGTGATATGCATCGAGTTGTAAATTAAGAATTAAATTGTTCATTGACAGAAGAACACTGAGAAAAACATTATTGGAACGATAATACTAATTTTGGCTTAGGCTTTTCCAATGAGGTGATGCGCGTTTACAGCAATAACATCTTGATAAACTCCAGGCAATTGCTGAATTTAATTTTCCTTTCTTTTGCGCAGCAATAAGACAATTATATACACGGGCTTAATGTATTTAAATAAAGTTGCACGAGTTTGTGCTTAATGTATACATGGTCTTTCTTTTCATTACACTCCCACTGCAGGTAACGCTCAGCATAAAATATATTTTGTCAGGCCAGGTTGCTCCATTTATTACCATGTGCATAGCACTATATATTTTCCTAAGAATTCTTCCTCTTTTCCGATTCTAACTTTGTATATTGTGTATGCGGAATGCTGCTCATTTCTCGTTACAATTTCTAATCGTCCCTATATCCTTGGATTCGATTCAACATTTTCTTACCATATTTGCTGCAAACTTTGCATTGACCAACCTAGTTCCAAGTGGTTTTTGTTGCAAAGTCGTCGGATATGGTGTACTCGTGATGTATTCCAGGGTGTACTACTCGACACCATTGTGTTACTGTTCCGCATCAAATTGGTATTTCAGATTCTTCGGGCATCGAGCTTCAAGTTGGCAGGCGACTTGAAGATTTAGGGAGTAATTTAGACTCCCGAAGACTGTGACTTTTTACAGCATGAACTCCACCTCCTGGTTATGTACCTGCGTATCTCGACTTGTCTGTTAACGCGGTCAGTCTGATATTTATATTCCCGGGGATTGGAGATATCAGGCATTGGTCAACTCTTGTCTGCCAAATGCTACATCCTATTACTTCCGTGAAGCATCTAGGCGTACACTCATGCTGCTCTTTGAAGTGATTGGACAAGTTATATATAAACGGTCTACACATGCTTTGGCTATTCAGACACAGCTTCTGCACCTGTTTCGAAAAGGTTTCCACTCATCTCTCCTCTTACAACATAAGACCAATTGTCGTGGTATAGGTGCAAACTGTAAAAGTCATCACCACTTGGCTAATAAGTCCATCCAAGGTTTAAGCGGGATATGGTTCGTAGACGCATGAAGGTTACTATATCTGTACAAAATGTCTTACCGTCGCTTTCGAGTGTACCTCGTAAAGTTTTACCCGTAATTACATATGGGTGCGCTATCAATGCAGCAATCGTTCTTGAAAGTATGCTATCATCATGCACGCCCGGGCAACTGTAGAAGGCGGTAAATAAATATATTTAGCAATATAATGCTCACCACCTTATTTATGAATCGCATAGCTCATCCTCTATACTTCGAGAAATGAGTGATGAATCATTGAAACCGTTTGCTCGAGATATTAGTCGATGCGCACTCGGTTTCTGAACTAAGATAATTCTTAAACCTGCTCTTTGCATGTCAAAGAGTGTGACAGCTCATCGCAGCAGAATTTGACGTCGTACAGCCGAACTGCTTTCAGATTGTACAGTACTAAATGTCCTTATCATGGGTGTGCGCTCGTTACTAAATAGATGGAGTGACACAGTTATGCACCTTCTACGTCTACTTTCTCCGTGTTCGATACTAAGGAACATTTTCAAATGTTTATATTTATCATTCATATAACTCCTAAAAGCTGGAGCCAACCACAGCCGTAATGCCAAAGTTAAATAGTTTCAGATTCTCGAGGTCTGTGTAGTCCCTTAGTAGTGAACAGTATTTAAAAACCTCTGATCATATTGCAAAACTCTTGAACATTTGCAAATCGAGTGAAATGATGGATACCTAAAATTCTTCATATGTATAAGCTGTCGGCTGTTCATCAGACAAAGCCGAAACTCATGAAGTCGGTTTAGTCTTCCCTTTCCTTAGCAACGGGCGTAGCCAATTCATCGTATGAAGGGCGCAACGTTGACATAAATTGTGACATATTTGGTATCTATTGATGTGTCATTGTGAAAGAAGATCAATTCTATTAATTATCTCATACTGAAAATTGTTTATTTAATTCGACCAAATTAGCTAATGCCATTCAAATTTTCTTTATCAATCCAGCTGCTAGTTACCATTTAGCTAAGTAACTTAGTCATTGTAACCATCGACATTTTGGAAGGAATTCGTGGTCATGATTTGTTACAATTAATCACTTACTTGTTGCAACCTGAATTTGAAACATCACCACAAATTGTTTTATGATCCACAAAGCCCTCATTTACGGCAACCCGGGATTTTCCTTATTAAGAAAGGTGGGTTTAACTCGATAGATAAAACAAATCTTTACCAAGATTACCAACCTAGATATAATTTTGACTTCGCATCGTCACAAATCTGATGTTAAGAATGTCAATACATAAAATTACACATTAGTCAGCGCTGGACTAATTAGTAGTCCTGAAGTAGCTTCATACCATCAGTATCCTTATTTAATGCAGAATTGAATCAGATTGTAGGAGTGTTAAATTTCGGGGAGCTTATAAGTAAATAATTACTAAATAAAAGTGGCCGTTATATAACGCATAGAACTAATTTTACATCACACATAATAAATTGAGCCAACAGAATAATATCTCTACATGAAAATAACTCTCACATGCTATGGGGTGCATGCATATTTAACAATGAGCACGTGTGAGTCTGCATCAGCAATAATGACAGGCTTATCATAAGCGAGTGAACTTCAGCTAACTCAGGTTAGTCGGTCACTACTGAGATACAGCTTTTTATCTTCCTGTGAATTTTACATTATTCATTTCAAACTGGTTTACATTTTAAAGTACATCGGACGCACTACCATGCGTCCACTGTCTACAGCTACAGACTATGCAAAGTTGATTTCATGTTGCTCCTGGTAACTTAGTGCCGGTACAAAGCAAATCAGACAACATTAGGCGTGGTTTCCTGTTGCAAAGCAAATTGTTTGTAAACACGCGCTACAAATGGACAGGGGGCCAGTTTATCCAAGAGATCCCAAAGTAGGTTAACCAGTTGTCAGCATTATTTAATGTTAACAAATAAAAGAGAAATACTGTATGTGATCACACCGATCATCATATTCTTTCAAACTTGGCTATGTTCTTAGACAATCCTTTACTTAAACTTGTACGGATTGCTGCTGAAAGAAATTGATAATGCTAAGAATAAGTTTTGCTAATTTTTCACTAACACCAAGAGCTTGAATGTTGTCGATACGCATTCCACTAAGAGAAAAACCGCCTTCGTTCAGTGTATATTAAAACGATACCACTATTACGACACACACACATTTTCATCTAAAGAAAATACATGTTTATCCTAAAAGTTAATATTATAAAGTATTATTGGTTATAAATTAATTAGCTTTAGTTCACTTTTGTCCCTCGAAAGCTCATAAAAACTGTTTTGTTACCCATTGGGATTGTTCTTGTTACCTACGGGACAAATTGTAAATATATATATTGCCGGAGGAAAGCAAGTACAAATGCGACTAACTTTCCATATATATATATATATATATACATATATATATATCAGTAATTTGAGAAACCACCAGCCTAACCTGAACACGCAGTACGATTGGTTAAAATATTTTTGTAACCTTTTCTCCCTTTGTTTGTGTAATCCATGAACCACCCTCCTAAATACCTGACGTTTGTCCCCACATTATCCCTGAAAGCCATTGACGTTGCCTCAAACAAATGTATTATGATATGTAGCCCAAGTATCATTGGACACAATCCGAAGTGAAAGACAGAGCAGCTGCCAGTATGGTCCTCAACAAGTAAAACCTTTTTTAAACACTGAATTTGTTCCACCCAAAAATGTTTCTTTTTATTTGCCTTGTTTTATCTGTTGCATGTTTTTTAACCTGTGGATCCCACGGGACTTGTTGAGTAATGCTTGTATGCCCAATGCAACAAGGTCTCCGTAATCCCAAGCAATCCGCCTACTATTGTAATCCAACCTTACTCTAGTTTGAGATTTCCTAGCACCATGGTTACTTTAGGACTAACAGTAAAAGCCTACGGGCAACGTTTTCTGCAAATTTGTAATACAGCGGATCATTACAGACAAGTTGTAATCAAATCGTTTAATAGATTTACACACCCACACGAACTGAAGTAATCTCAATATATTAAGGTATCTCCCAATAAAATTATCATTTTCTCTGTATTCAAACTGAAGTAAAATTACTTTGCAGCAGCGTAAACCAGCTGTGCGCAACATGTTATTAAAACAGCTTCAGTTGCATTTATATGCACAAGAAACGCCGATTAATTTTGTATTTCCATTATGAAGCTACTGACTTTTAGTCTTTTTGATATCGTAAATATGAGAGTTTTCTAATTAGTATTTAACATGTCGTACAAGATTAATCATTGGCTCAGAAGGTTAAGATTGTCGAATAAGTATATACAACTCAAGAAAAACATGTGCGCGTTTTTTTTCTGATTGCGTGTCATTTAAAGCGGAATCGACATGCGAGCCGCTCTGGTGCTGTGTTAAGATGAATTTCGCACATGCTTGAATGAAGAGTTTAGCAATTATCAGAAACGAACAAGTGCTATGTAAAATGTCGTAGATATCTATGGGCTCGCTACATAGCCTACTTTATATAATAATGTTTAACGCACAGCATTGTCGTCATCGATTTTATAGCAATGAGATAAAATCCCTCACCCATGTTCTTGTCCACGTGATAAAGCCGGAATTGTGCTGGCATTGTCGTACCCACTTGGAACAATCGGCTACCTGCAGAAATATTTGAGGGTATGGTTATGCATATTTCTGAGCTAGA